TCTTCTTTCCACAAAGTCTAAAAAAGATTTTGCGAATTGAATAATAATTTGATCCGTTAATCTTTTGAAGGTAGTAATTTTATTGTGCCCTCTCTGCTGTCTCTGCGGCACGCAAATGAATAGTGCTTCATTATAGCAGACTGCATTTAATAACCATTATCCATTATCATGTAATTAAGACTCCCTGTAACGAATCATGAGGACAATGCAAAAATACATAGTACATTTCTTTAATGAACTGGAAAATGTTCATCTTGTTCTATTTAGTAATGAGTTGCTGAATAGTCATTAAAGCCACTGGAGAACCGGATGAGATGGATTCTAAAGACCGTCTTCAGCTTGTGCTTAATCTATTAGAATTAAAATTTCATCTTCTATTTTTATCAACAGCTGATTAAAAGTCATTCTGTTTGACCAAATTGATTAGAAGACCATATACAGGGGCAGCTGTTGTTTAATGAAAGTTTTTAATGAAACTGTACCAGGGAGATTGGTAATTATAGGCCTTATAAAAGCTGGAACTACTCAGCCAGCATAGAACGTTCATTGTGCAACCGATGATTTAACGCAGTGTGGAGGAGGGGGGCGCCTGATCTCAGCTTGCCCCTCAATATGCCACATAGCTCAGGGACGTCTGTATAATGGCCAGGGCAGGGAGCTTCTTGTTTGCCCTTCAGACAGGTGATGAGGTGTGTAAGGAGAAACCTAGCCAACCATGTATGTGGTCTGGTCACATCTCAGGCAATCGGTGTCTAGCCTTCTCTATATTTCGGTTGATGAGGTGATTGGTGTCTGGTATTTTCTACATACTGGGTAATGGAGATTTTCGAGGCCATGGGTATCTGGTCTTCTCTATGTACTGCGTGATGAGGAGCAAAAGGTCATTGGTGTGTGGTATTCTCTGGGTACTGGATGATGAGGCGAGAGACACAATTGGTATCTGATCTTCTCTATGTACTGTGTGATGGTGATTGGTGTCTGGGCTTCTCTATGTACTGGGTGATGGCGATTGGTGTCTGGTCTTCTCTAGGGCTGCAGCTAACGATTATTTTCATAATCGATTAGTTGGCCCATTATTACGTTCGATTAATCGGATAAAAAAAGAAAAATCCACTGACTTGCTTTCAGAAGGTGGGCCCTCGATTGTCGGCGGGCCAGCGACGAGTGAGGGAGATCGCGTCGATAAGTAGAGCAGCGGCCTGCACGGCTTCAGCGGCCTATGCGGTGGGCATGGCTTACGCTGCCTGTGCCGTGGGCACGGTGGCCGCAGCGTGTGACGTGTGGCTCAGGCCGCATGTGGAGCCCCGAACAGGCAAATCAATCGATAGCCAACGAATCGACGATCGAAAACGTTGCCAACGTTTTCAATCGTCGATTTTAATCGACTAAATGGATTAACTGTTGCAGCTCTAGTCTTCTCTATGTACTGTGTGATGAGGAGCAAGAGGTCATTGGTGTCTGGTATTTTCTACATACTGTGTGATGGAGATTTTCGAGGCGATGGGTATCTGGTCTTCTCTATGTACTCCGTGATGAGGAGTAAAAGGTCATTGGTGTGTGGTATTCTCTGGGTACTGGATGATGAGGCGTGAGAGACAATTGGTATCTGGTCTTCTCTATGTACTGGGTGATGGAGATTGAGAGACAATTGGTATCTGGTCTTTTCTATGTACTGGGTGATGGAGATTGAGAGGCAATGGGTATCTGGTCTTCTCTATGTACTGCATGATGAGTAGCAAGAGGTCATTGGTGTGTGGTATTCTCTGGGTACTGGATGATGAGGCATGAGAGACAATTGGTATCTGATCTTTATGTACTGGGTGATGGCGATTGGTGTCTGGTCTTCTCTATGTACTGTGTGATGAGGAGCAAGAGGTAATTGGTGTGTGGTATTCTCTGGGTACTGGATGATGAGGCATGAGAGACAATTGGTATCTGATCTTTATGTACTGGGTGATGGCAATTGGTGTCTGGTCTTCTCTATGTACTGCATGATGAGTAGCAAGAGGTCATTGGTGTGTGGTATTCTCTGGGTACTGGATGATGAGGCATGAGAGACGATTGGTATTTGGTCTTCTCTGTGTACTGGGTGATGGAGATTGAGAGGTGATTGGTGTCTGGTCTTCTCAATGTAGCGGGTGATGAGGAGTGAGAGACCATTGGTATCTGGTCTTCTCTATTTACCGGGTGATGAGGAATAAGAACTGATTGGTGTTTGGTCTTCTTTATGTACCTGGGGATAAGGAGTGAGAGGTGACTGGTGTCTGGTCTTCTCTATGTTCTGTGTGATGAGGAGCAAGAGGTGATTGGTGTTGGGTCTCTTCCATGTTCTGCATGATGAGGGGGTAAGAGGTGATTGGTGTGTGGCTTCCTCCATCTTCCGGGTAATTAGGGATTTTTGATTTCCTGTGTGTTCCAGGTGAAATGGACACAAAGGGAAGTAAAAGACAAATTTTGTTTTAGATCTTCCCTGTGTGCTGGGTTATTTGTGGCGCTAGTGCTCCTTTTGGTATGTATCTGTACATCATTTCAGGCGTGATCTTTCTTACTGAACATTCTTCATATCTGGGGTGTGAAAGTAATAGTAAAACTTTGTTTTTTATTTCGTTTTATGATGAGGAAGCCTACACTTACATGATTTCATTATTCTTGTTCTTTAAAGTTGTTTACTTCCTCATCCTCTGTCAGTGTTTCTCAACTTGTGTAACCTCAGGACCCACATTTGTCATTAAGTCATGACCAAAGTCACACCGCATTGGAGCCCATGGCATTGCGGTACTGTGTGTTCTGGTGCGGGCAATTGAACTGGGTGGGAGGTTTGTTCCGGGTGCCACTTAATGAACGGAGGGCTGCTGTGCTGTGACAGTGCTCCATCCATATGTGCATTGCTTGTACATCTACCTTGCGTGCCCTGTAGAGGTCACATTCTGGCTCCCGGAACATCACTCCGGGCAGGCACCTCTACAGGGCATGCAAGGGAGCTGTAAACAATGCATGTATGGATGGAGCTCCCACGCAGTCATACCTCCACCCCACCCCAAGCTGACACTCAGTGCCAGGCAGCATATTTTGAATGGTTGCTCGGCACAAAAACGGACATTGCTGCGCTAGGGGAAGGCTGAGGAACTTCTCACCTAGCGCAGTGGAGGGCACACAGTGACCCACTGAACATGGGATCACGACCCGCCAGTTGAGAATCACGGCTCTAGGTAGTTCCCAAAATGCTAGCCCCCCCTTTCTATTTGCGGGTGTCTCCTTCAGCTAACCGGCTGCTGAGAAAACACCTAAGCCATGCTCCACTTCCTCCACCATTCTCCTCCCAACACTTTGACTGATGGCAGAAGGAGCCTATGGCTCCTCTACCCTCAGTAACCACCCCCCC